ACATGGCACACTGCATCCTCGACCTCCTGGACATAGGCAATCCTCCCACCTCAGCTTCCCTAGCACCTGGGACTACAGGCATGCGTCACTATGCCTAGCTAAGTTTTTTGTTACTTTTTGTACAGACAGGGTTTTGCCATGTTTGCCAGGCTGGTCTCGGACTTCTGGGCAATCCACTCATCTTGGCCTCCCAAAGTGCTGGGATTACAGGTGTGAGCCACCATAGCCAGCCTCCTGCCTGGTTTAAAGCTGACACGTCCAGTAAAGTTCTTTATTCTTCTGGCTGAGGTGCAGATGTGATGGCTAGATCTCAACAATCATTATGGACCATGAGTCAGAAGATCCATATTGATTTTAGTAGAGTTACAACATAAAACGTGTTGGAATATATGCAGATTATAGACCTTTAAATTATTCATTTTCAGAATTTGTTTATATGCGTGAAAAATAGCCTTCTATATAAGTGGTGTCTCCAAAGGACAGCTTTAGCAGAATATAAGACTGACATTCTTCCAAAAAAAAGGCTGAGAACCTATAATTAAGGGGAGGATTAAGAATTTTGTCTTCTCATCAAAGTCTGGAGTTTCAGATGGCCACAAGGAGCTGCTATTAGGCTGAGGGACAGGAGTTTGGTAGCATGTAGGGGCTAGTAAATAAAAGATTGGAGTCTCAAGGCTTAAATACATGTCTAAATATGGAACTGGCCTCAAACAAATAGGCCAGAAACCAATTAAGTGTTTGAAGTAAAATTTTTACCATAAAAATCCCAAAGAAAACAAACAACCCCAAAATACAAACCAGGACTGAAAAATTCTATGACTGTTGAACCCATAAAGCAATCCTCAGGCCTCTAAAGCTACACAGCAAGAAGCTAGATGGAAAAGCTCTGCTGCTATGCTTCAAATATGGCCACATGGGGCAAAAAGAACCACCACAGAGGAATATAGAAAAAAATCATCCTAGAAAACACAACCAGAGGAACTTCCAATCAACTTACTGCATTGCTATGATATAGAATTTGATGATGGTTTGATAATGGCTAAAAATCAGTGACTGTTATCTGTATTTCCTATTTTCCCTTTTTTGGATGGGAGATTGATCTGGGTTGTTCTATTAATACTTCATTTAATATTAAATAACCATGGGTCTGATAACACGTCTGGAAAACCAGTACCATGTATAAATCTGAATGACAAGATGACTAATCACCCACAGAGCTCAGATTTTGAGACATAGTAACTATACAGTACAGTGGGGGTTGTTTCCTCGGGAATGAAAAGATATGATTCTATATGGGAAAAAGTTATTCATGGCTACTTGGTTTCCCAGACAGCTAGTTGTTTCCCAAGTATACCCATTCTCAATTTTTTATGTAATAATAATAACTGCTAATATTTAGTAGGACATATGGCTGCTCAGATTAAAGACTACATTTTCCAGCTTGCTTTGCAGTCAGGTGTGTCTATGTAACCAAGTTCTGGTCAATGGGATATATATGGAAATGGTTTGTTCCAATTAGGATAGGATCATTCCTATTTTAATTAGAACCAAGAAGTATGTTCTGCCTCCCTCACTCTTTCTCTTAAATGGAATGTGGATGTGATGAATGGTGTAATTAATCCATTGTAAAGGTTGTCAATATTGATAGCTATGAGGTAGAGAGATAGAGAGGAAGCCTGGATCCACCTAGATGCGTACCAGCCTTGGAATTTTAACTCTCCCTATATATTTAATACAACAGAAAAGTAAACGCTTATCTTTTGGGAACTTTGATGTCCATTCCAAATATTCCCATAATTTTTCTTCTCTGGTGCACTTCATTCCTTTCTGCCTTATTATACTTCCGTTTGGAAGAGTTTTCCTTCTGCCTAAATAATAATATGTAGTATATCTTTTAATGTAGGTTTGCTAACCTCTCTGTAGCTCCAAGAAATCTTAGCTTGTCTTTGAAAATTATTTTATTTCTTCTTTTGAAGGAAAATTTTGCAGGTTATACAACTTGCATTTAGCGGCTATCTTCTTTCAGGACCTAAAATAGCTCACTATTTTCTTCCTACTACCATTTTTCTGTTTCTGTTGTAAAGTAAGCTGTCAGTCTTGTTGATGTTCTTCTAAAAATAATTGTTTTCGGTGTCTCTCTTTAAGATTCACTATGATGCATAGGTGTGGTATTCTTTGTATTTTTTTCTGCTTTGGATTTATAGATACAGAATCTGAACTGTCTTACCCTTAGTCCCTTTGGGGATATTTTTGCCAATAACTTCTCAAATATTGCTTTTGCCTCATTTTATCACACCTTTCCTTTGAGACTCTATATATACACATGTATGGTGTGAGGGGAGATAGAGATATGATTGGGCTACATATGTGTGTGTGTCTGTGTGTGTATTTCTTATATTTTTATCTCATATATATTCCTTACATTCTTATTTATTTTATATTCTTTTTCTCTTGCTTCAGTCTGAATATTTTCTATTAATTTATCTTTATTTAGCAAATGATTTCCTCTGCTCTAATTTTCTCTTAATCACACATTTTATTTGTAATTTCAGTTGTTTTGTTATTTCCTAATTTCCATTTGATTTAATTTTATAAGTTTCAGTAATTTGGCAAAAGTATCCATCTTTTAATCATTTTTTGTACAAATTGATCCTAACTGGGGAACACTATGTTAAGTGAAATAAGTCAGGCACAGAAAGACCAACATCACATGTTTCTTACTTAATTGTGGGATCTAAAATTCAATACAACTGAACTCATGGACATAGGGTAAGGATGGTTAACCAGAGGCTGGGAAGGGGAATAGGGGTGTGGGAGGAAGTTGGGCATGGTTAATGGGTACAAAAAAATAGAATGAATAAGACCTATTATTTGATAACACACAGGGTGACTATAGTCAATAATAAGTTAATTATACATTTTAAAATAACTAAAAGAGTGTAATTGGATTGTTTGTAATATCAAGCATAAATGCTTGAGGAGATGGGTACCCCATTCTCCACAATGTGAATTATTACACATTGCATGCCTGTATCAAAACTACTAATGTATCCTACAAATATATACACCTACTATGTACCCACAGAAATTAAACATTTTAAAAACTTAAAAAAACTGACCAAATTTTACAAGTAGCTTAGATAGAAAATTTCTTAGCTTGATAAAAACTACATAGCAGAAACTTAACAACAAACATCATAATAATGGTGAAATATTATTATCACTATTTATTTTGAAAAACATAAATGGTTAAAATGTATTTGAAGAAAAGTAAAACAATTACCAGAAATCCTTATAGAAGGAAATAAGTAGACTTTAATTTTTGGAGAGATACACTATGATTTTCAATGGTAAGACTCAGCCTTGTTAAAGCATCATGTCTCTCCAAACTTGTCAAACAATTAAATGAAGAATATTAAAGAAGAACAGCTTAAAAATGAGGGAAACTTTATCAGATATCAAAATAGTCATTCAATCTTTTATTCACTGATTTATTCACTCACAAAGTATTAATTGCATGCTTACATTATATCAAATACTGTATATATTGGGAATTCCATTCTGAGTAAAATCATAATTCTTCTAAGGACAAAGCATATTTACCATATATTTTGGGCATATATTAACTTATAAAACTTATAAAAATAAATCATAATATGTGCTACATTGCTGAGGTAGTTGGAATTATGAAAGCTTATTGTAGAGGACTTTGAATTTTGATATATGGGTCCAAGAGGAAGTATTAATGTAGCCAAAATCTAAAGTTCATTTTAGACACTGGTATTAGAAGCACAAGGATAACAAATTAATCAGTGAAAAAGAGAAGGGGCATTTCACATAGGTGGGTAGAGTATACATGGTATGAAACCATGTATAAAGATCAGGCACTTCATTTGTATAAAGAATATTAGATCTCTACTTCACATCATTTACTTTATAAGTTAAATACTTTGTAGATTAAAGGTCTAAATATGAAAACAAAATGTTGAAATTACTAGAAAACATAAAAGATTGGATTTCTTTCTAATTTAGCATGAGAAATGAATTCTTAAATTAGAAAACGTTTCAGAAAGCATAAGAGAATTTAAGAAAGATTACTACCTAGATTTAGACAGATCTTTTATGCTAAAAGACATCATAAGTAAAAATAAACTAAAAAGTAGCAGGAGTATTTATAAATCTTACAAAAGGGCATTTATTTAGACAAGTTTGCATTGTTTGTAATATCAAAAATTGTGTAAAGTAATGGATTTTTAGTATATAAAATGCAATACTGTACTACGTACTAGTTACAAGAACAGACCTAGATGTTTGTCTATTATATATTAATTATTTTTAAAAAGTTTGTTATAGAACTACATGTATAGTTTGCATAGATAGGTAACTAGGTATGTATGTAGATAGACACATACAAACATATGTAAATACATAGATGAAGGAAGAGAGAGGCAATGTACTAATCACACATAAACATATATATGTAAGCGATAGAGAATAGCTTTGTTCCTAAAATTATATGGATGAATCAAAGATGTGTGAATGGAATCATTAATGCAACTTATCATTTAAGAAAGTATATGGTGAGTCATTACATGACTCACTAAAAGGTGAATGCAAACAGCCACATTTTAAAATATAGATAATTACATCTAATCACTATTTTGTCACTTTGGGTTTTAAAGCAGCTACCTGTTTGCTTCTGCATTCTAATAAAAGTAGATGCTCTTAATTTAGTGATTCAGAAGCTTATGGTCTTGGTTGCATTCCAGCTAATCTGTTTCATAGGCACTGACTCAGCTGTTGAAATAACTGTGGTATTTAAGTTGATAATGACATGGCCCTCAATATCAGGTGTTTCCCATGAAGTGTTTCCATTTATGGAATTAACTTTCCCCCTGAATTGGTGAAAAAGCCAAATCTATTTTAAAACTTGTTGTCCCAAATGAATCTTATTAATCAGTGATGCGGGTGTGTGCTGAATCAGATTGTTAAAGAGTACTTCATAATTCAAACTTGGTTGATGTGGTAAGCTGAATAATGAAAGATATCAGTTCCTTATCTCTGGATATAGGAAAAAGGAGTCTTTGCATATGTAATTAAGAATGTGGAGATGAGGAGATTATCCTGGTTTATCCAGGTCGAATCTAAATGCAATCACAAATATTCTTTTAAGGGTTATTAAACAGAGGGATACTAGTCACAGACTGAAGGGGAGAAACAGAGTGTTATAATAGAAGCAGAGATTGGAAAGACATAGCCACAAGTCCAGAAATGCCCAAGGAATGCCTCTGGCCACCAGAAGCTCTAAGAGGCAATGAACAGATTTTCCTGTAGAGTGTCTAGAAAGAGTGTGACCCAGTCAACACTTTGATGCTTGCCCAGTGATACTCATTTTAGACTTCTGGCCTCCAGAACTGTAAGAGAATAAATTTCTGTTGTTTTAAGCCACCAAATTTGTGGAAATTTATTATGGCAGCTGTAGAAAATTAATAGTTGATGTTATAAATTTTTATGCATCCACACGGGATCAGCAGGTACATTTACTCTAGAAAATTGATGAGACACTTCTGAAAGTAAAAAATAAAATAAAAGCATGCTTAATACAGATTGTTTTGTTGCAAATGGCAATAAGCTTTTCTTTTTAACTTATATTTCTAAGACATAAGTTTTTACTCAGCCTGTAGTGCTGTGGATTTGACTCCCATTTGAAAGTGCCTTACCTCCCCATAGACCATGTGGGCTACAAATAAACCCCTGCACCATTTTCTGAGAGAAAATGAGATTTGGTAGTTTGAAAGAAAAGGATATAAACAATGATTCCATGATTCATATAGCAGATGCTAGGAGTTTGTCTTATGTGAGCTCTCTTAGATTTGACTTAGTACCTGAAAGTTATTGGGTTTAAAGGTCTGTCTACCTCTTAGAACAGAGTCAAATAAAAATAAGTTGCTTTATTTCATTAGATGATGTCTGACCATTGCCTGTTAACAGCCAGCTTCAGGGAGCTTTTGGTGTGACTCAATTATTCTAGGTTTGTTCCATGAGAATTCTACACTTCATTCACGAATTAGGGGCGATATAACAGAGGTATGCTTTTCTCTCTGTTAGCAGCAAGGTGAATTGGAGAAAATCAAGTCCAGTATAAACAAATGTTCCAACCTTGGACATGAGAGAGAAAAGACGATACGGTGCTAATAGTTAAGTGAAAGTAGCAGATGGGGTCTTCTATTGACTGAAAAATGTCACAGGTTGGAAGGAGAAGTCATGAATGGATACAGAGGATGAACGGTTCACAGGGTGAATGGCAAATCCCAGATTCATCTTGTAAGAGAGATTTTATATATTTTGTGCAAAGGGCTAACTTATTTCCCTGGTAAAATCATAGGTAGCAAGGTAGTTAAGAATATTGGAAATAAGAATGCAAGGAAGAAAAATCAATATTATCTTTCAAAAATATACAATAATGGGCACTCTATGCATATTAAAGTAAATAAAACTACTATACCTTATTCTTTTCAGTTTTGTAATTGTTTCTGGAAAAAATATTTCTAATTCCTCTATCTTCATAATCTGCAGCATACATACACTACTTTATCATTCCTGTTTTCTCTTTTTATCATTGGCACAATATTTCCTCAATGTAGATCCACTTTGAAATGACTGCATATTATGCAGTTTTTATAAAACAAATTAACATTATAAATTAATAGGTACTATTATTTTTGCCTTTACAAAGTGAAAGTCTTCTACCAATTCATCTCTATTCCTGTGCTAGTCACCCCTTCATAACTGAATTTGTAGTATTTAATGAAAGTTGACAAAAATCTTACATTTTAATATGTTAAACTTTAAAACTGTTAATATTCCAATCTTGTTGGATTATTTAGTGGGAGCAACAGGTTCTAATCGACCATGTGTGTACATGCCAATATCTTGAGCACTCTTAAATTACATGATCATCTGAACCACTGTAATAGCCAGTGCACATACCATATTAAAGTTTTAGGTGTGATAAAATATATATTGCCTTAGATATCTAAGAGAACAATCATGTCTTAGTCATCTATTGTGCCTTTGAAATTTTTCCCAAACACAGTGACTTGAAGATGACAATATTTATTATCTCCTACTTTTGTGTGTCAGGATCCTCCAGCTCAGACTTTCACCTGGCTGCAATCAAGGTTCAGCTGAGGCCCTAGTCATCTCAGGAGCAGAATCCACTTCCAAGCTGAATCAGTAGTCGTTTGCAGGATTAATTTCTTTGCAGGCTGTTGAACTGATGGCCTCAATTCCTTGTGGGATATTGGTCAGAGACCACCACAGCTCCTTGCTCCTTGCCACATATTCTTTCCTACAGTACAGCTTACAAAATGGCAGCTTGCTTTCTCAAAGTGAAAGAGAAGTAAGAGTGTCAGCAAGACAGAAGTCAGTCTTGTAATCAAAGTTTAGAAGTCACATGCTATTGCTTTTGCTGTTTTCTATTTGTCATAGTAACAAGGTTCAGTTCATACTAAAGGGAAAAAGTTAGACAAAGGTGAAAATTCTAGAAGGTGAGAGAGAAGCCATTTTAGAAGGCAGCCGACTGGGCACGGTGGCTCATGCTTGTAGTCCTAGCCCTTTGGAGGCTGAGGCGGGTGGATCATGAGGTCAGAAGTTTGAGATCAGCCTGGCCAGCATAGTGAAACCCTGTCTCTACTGAAAATACAAAAAAAAAAAAAAAAAAAAAAAATCAGCTGGATGTGGTGGTGGGAGCTTGTAACCCCAGCTACTTGGGAAGCTGATGCAGGAGAATCACTTGAACTAGGGAGGCGGAGGTTGCAGTGAGCTGAGGTTGTGCCACTGCACTCCAGCCCAGGCAACAGAGCTATACTCCATCACACACACACAAAAAAAGAAGGCATCCTACCAAAGATATGTATTCCTCTTTTTCAGTTGAATAACAATGTAGATTGGTCCATTTATTACAATTTGATATGAAGTACTTTGCCCCCCAAATTATTCAGTTGCGAGGTAGTTGTTATTTGAGGATATATTTGTAGACATTCCTCTGATTTAAAAAGAGACATTTTTATGTTATTTCAGTACAAGTCATGACATAGAAAGCTTATCATTCTAACAAATATTACTTCTCTAACTCTGTCTTAGTCCACTTATGCTACTCTAAACGAAATACCTGAGATTGGATAACTTATAGACAACAGACATTTATTTCTCACAGGTCTGGAGATAGGAGGTCCAAGATCAAGGCTCTGGCAGGTTTGATATCTGGTGAGGGGCCAGTCTCTGCTTCTAAGATGGTGGCTTTTGCTGCATCCTCCAGAGAAGATGAATGTTGTGTCCACATTGTGGAAGAGATGGAAGGGCAAAAAGGATGGAAGGGACAAATTCTGTCCCTCAAACTCTTTTTAAGGGCTCTAATCCCATCCATGTGGATAGAGCTTTTATGGCCTAAGCATCTCCTAAAGGTCCTACTGCTTAATACTGTTGCATTTAGGATTAACTTCCAACATGATTTTTGGAAAAGACACAAACATTCAAACCATAGCAACCTCCCTTCTACAAAATCTGTTTCTTTCACTCTATTCTTGTATTCTTGTATTCTACTGGTAAATCATATTATACCAAACTTGATCTAACATGACACAAATTTACTATGTGTCACAATTTCAAGTTAGTTTTAAACTGATTCTACAAATGTGGTTTTGATAACCTTACTAAGGAAGTATACATATATACATCAGTGTAACTGAGTCTACTCCCATACTATTTAAATTTGTAAAATACATGACCTATGTCCTGAAAATGTCTTTCTTGCTTTATTATTCTAGATAGCACTTTGCACCATCTGATATATAGAATGTTTTACTTGTGGAGATATTCACAAAATGCTTCCTCTAATAGAATCTAAACTCCATGAAGGACAATATTTTTGTTGGTATCTTTAACGCTAGAACAGGATTTGGCACACAATTGGAACTGAAGAAATATTCAATGAAGAAATAAACTGATAAATGTCTACATATGCCATGTGTGAAATAATAAAAATATATATATTGGTGTCTGCCCCTCAGTTCTTGACACAGATCTCCTAAAACTCTTGTAATTTCCTAAGCAATAGGAATGCTAGGGTCATCTTTTGTTTTACTGTTTGATTTTTGACCCTGGTTCCTAAGGGTCAAAAAGAGAGCTCCTGAATCCATTGGAATTTCCCACGTGATAGGAAGATCTTTTGTTCTAATAATGCATTCTTGGTGAGATTCTGGATGGGGATGGTCACCAGAAAAAACAATTCACGATTAGAAGCTTGGAACTTTCAGCCCTGCTCACTATCCTTCAGGGAGGTGAGAGGAGCTGGAGACTAAGTTAATAATAGATTATGTCTATCTGATGAAATCTCCATAAAAATCCCAAAAGTATAGTGGTTCATAGAGCTTCTGGATTGGTGAGCACATTCATGTCCTAGAGGTGTGGCACATCCCAACTCTACAGGAACAAAAGCTCTTGCACTCGGACCTTTCCAACCTCTTTCTCTTGTTGTTTATCTGTATCTTTTGTAATATCCATTCTAATAAACCAGTAAACACAGTAAGTGTTTCCCTGAGTTCTGTGAGCCATTCTAGCAAAAGACTGAATCTAAGAATTGTTGACTGTGGGAACATCAATTTGTAGCCAAGCTGGACAGAAGTTGAGGACCCACCATTTATGACTGGTATCTGAAGTGGGGGCAGTCTCATGGGACTGAGTCCTTAACCTGTGAGGTCTATTCTAACTTCAGGTAGATAATGTCAGAATTGAATGAAATTGTAGGACATCAGTTGGTGTCTGCAGATAATTAGAGAATTGCTTGATATGTGAAATTTTTAAAAAACCCTCACACATCTAGTGTCCGAATTGAAGTATTCTGTGATAAGTGCGAGTATAGAGAAAAAAAAGTTTGATTTTCCCGTATACCATGACACTACATGTTGAGCCTCCGAGATAATTCTTTCTAGGCCTCTGCTAGTTTTATACCAGCCTCTCAGAATATGTTGAAAAAATCTTTATATAATTTACTATAAACAAGGTAATATTCTTTCTAGGAATTTAAGTATGTCTCATTAATGAATCTTATGTCTCAGTTTCCTCACTTTCTAAGTAAACATAGAATTTTTCCTTTGGAAAATGGTTTAGCCAGCTGCTAAAATAATTTTTCCTTTAGAAAATGGTTTAGCCAACTGCTAAACTTTCTGGAACAAGGACAGTTAAATAAATGATAAAAAAAAATAAGTAAATAATTTTATTAAGCTTAATGAGAAGGTACACTTAATAGTCACGCTATTTCATATTTTAAGATTATGTTTGGGCAGCGTTTCTTTTGCTAAATGTATATAATTTAAAACAGGTGTCACAATCTGTGAACAGGGGTTGTAGGAAGGGTAAATAATTTACAAAACTAAGAGACATCTAAGCCATTATTCATACCAAATATTGTTAGACTATTTATGAAGTTATTTTTCATTTAGGCACAAAATTTTACTTCTTGAGATTGTTTCTCCCTGAATACTTTTACCTTACTGTTTTAGTGACCTTGACAATAGATTCTCTATTACATCCCATTGACATGGCTGACTAGAGGAATAATATATTTTCCAATCCAATTATTTTCTCTAATGCCAAATTAAATGCTTTAATTAAAAAGTTAAACCAAAATATTAGAAAACATAATTCATATCAATCTCAATAATCATTAGTTGCTGGGATTTCTATTTCTACTTCAAACTTATTTACGTATTTTCTTAGAATATGCCTTCATATCTCAATCCATTTTCTGGAAGAGAAGGATCTTTTGAGGGGATATTTATAGCTTCACAATTAGTTAGCATCAAGCAACTTGTTAGTTATTTATAGATCTCGCTATTTAACTTTAGGTAACCATGTCAGGGGTCCCCACGGCCACCCTTGTGCTAGATTATTTGCTAGAGGACTCATAGGACTCAGAAGCATTTATATGCACAGTTATGGTTTACTATAGCAAAATAATACAGATTAAAATCGGCAAAAGGAGAACTTTCATGGAGTGAAGCCCAGGTGAAACCAGGCACAAGCTTCCAAGTGTCCTTCCCAGTGGAGCTATGCAGAATGTACTTAATTCTCCTAACAATAACGTGGAACAACACATACCAATCAGGGCAGCTCCTCCAAGCTTTTTTGTCCAGGGTTTTTATTGGGGTCAATCATATAGGCATGCATGACTGATGTAACCTACTCAGACTCCAGACCCCCAGAGCAAAAGCAGGTGTTCATAAATCACATTGTTAGCATAAACTACCTAGTCAAACTGGTACAGGCAGAACATTCCAAGAGCTCAGAGCTCAGCTTCCAGGAGCCAGCCAAGGGCTGACCCTAAAATTTGGCCTTTCATGGGAATGTGTAGAGTTTGAACAATCCAGATATGCTGAGTTAACCCTTTCCTATACAGGAACACAACCTGTATCTACTTCTTGAGGAAAAAAAAAAAAAGGCTTCATGATGAAGAATAATCCCCTAGATACTTAGCTCATTTTTTCTTCTGAGCCCTATTTTTATTTTCCTCCAAACATTGCAAAAAGAACAAAAAGAGGAAGGGCATTATCATTCAACCACATGAATCCCCATCGTTACCATTATTCTATAAATTGGGATAGTTAACTAATTTCCTTTAAAACAAGAGAGGTGAAATTACCTTCTTTCCCTGAGAGGAGCACTCATTTGTCAACTAAGTTGTATAATCACTAACGTAATTATATTTGTCCTTTTAGCAACCACTCTGTTATGGGAGGACATATTCAACTTTTTCTCATATTATCTATATTGTATAAATACCAGAAAAATTGTTTAAAATAATTATCTTTTAAGCCAAGGCTTAAAACAACTATACATAAAACTCATTGACTTTAATTGCATTTAAAGTCAGTTCATTTTGTGTATGTGTCATTTTCTTTGAATAAAATGTCAAACATTACAAAAGGGTAAACATTTTAAAAAGTAAAAGTACTTCCTTGGCCTCTGATCCCATTCTTCAAAATTCACACTTGCAGCCATTAGAAATTAGTGTCATTATGATCATCATCATCACCACCACCACCAAAAACCTCCATGTAGTGGCTTAAATATCCAGGGATTTAATTATATTTCATTGAAAAAAAAACACAGAGGTAGGCATCCTAGTGCTGCTCTTGTTGACCTAGGATGTCATGAGAGACACAAAACACATTGCTTTTTTCCCTCATGCTAGCATGTTAGTTCTAGGCCTCATATTTACTACTTCACGGTCACCAATTGGCTACTATACCTCCTGTTTTCATCCTGCATTACAGGCAGGGTAAAAGAAGGGGAAGAAGCTGTAATGCTAGACTTCTGATAATACATCATTAGCCAGAGAGATTTGATATGGTCAATCCTAGCTGTAAGGGTGTCTGGGAAATCAGATTCTTATCTTTTAGAGCCTCCACACAAGAGGAAGATAGGAGAAAAGAGAGTTGAAAATAAAGACCAGATAATTCAACATACAATGTAGACTACAGAGTTCCAATGTACACAAAATTATACACATATAGATACACACGTTTAAATATATAACATGTATTTAAATAATAGCATATAAGCTTATAACTTATTTTCTACCCTTAAAATATTTATTAGGTATCTTTCCTTACCAGACACAGGCATATTTTCTTCATATTTTGTGAAGGTGAAGATTATATGGATATATCATAAGTTATCTTAACTAGTTCCTGATTAATGGACATTTATATATTTAGATGTCAGTACTATTATCAATGTACTGCAGTGAACATCCTAGAACATCTGCCCTCTTGCACTTGTGTGAGTATATCTTCAGGATAAATTCCTTGAAGTATAATTGCTGGATTCAAAGGTATTCACATTTTAAATCTTCTTATTAGGAATTTAAAGAGATATAAAAATGGTTTTGCACTTATAATGGGAGGTAATATGTCCAGTTTTATGCTAGATACAAAGGGTTGATTATAGTGAAAAACTCAATAGCTTCTAGTATAACCTTGTGTAGTGAAAAATGAAATTCAAGTTTATTTCAAAAAGGGTGTTTGTGAAATTCTGGAAGATGTAGGGATGATCTAAAGTGATAGGGAAAATATAGTTTGCAGTAGCTTATATATTTGTGACAGATTTAGAAGATGTTAATGTGTCTCAGGAATCATTTTTTTAGCTCAGTTTTCCCCAGGTATTAATATGTATAATATGTATATACATCACTTGTTAAAATCTGGGCTCTGATCCTTTAGGTCTAGAGTGTGGCCTGAGACTCTGCATTTCTAACAAACGCCTACGTGATGCTGATGTTACTGGGGACAAAGCTTTAAGCAATCTTCATGGATCAGAAACTGACTTCTAAAGTAAAAAGAGTACTAAGAACCAATGTTGATTTGTATAAGGTTGTACTCCTTTGGGAGTCAGGTGGGGCCCCCAGCTACACACTCTTCATGCCAATTTTTGGTCACTTTGATTGGTATCAGCACCAGCATTAGGAGGTAACACTGGCAAATGTGGCTTATATGTGTTCAAATAACATAGTAAGCATCTTGGGCCCAAGGTGAGATGCCATTAAAGTGGACCAAAGCAAGAAGGGGAAAACTTGGAAGACACTCTGTATTCACTGACAGAGCATTTGCATGATCTCATATAAAACAGCCCTTTGGCACTCTCATATAAAACTTGGAGCCAGGGGAGATGGTGGATTTTGTGGTAGGCCAGATGTCTCTAATTAGCTGTTCAGGGTCTCCCAAGGCTGCAATCACGATGTCAGCTATGACTGTGGCTCCTCACCAGATTGACTGAAAACCTGCTTCCAAGTTTTTCAAGTTGTTAGATAAGTTCATTTTCTCATAGCTGTAAGACCTAGGGCTCCAGCTTTTTCCTGGCTGTCAGCCGTTGGCTGCTTAGGTTCTAGAGACCTCCAGTAGTTTCTGGCCACATGGTCCTTACCACAGATCCTCTCACAACATGGCAGCTTACTTATTGGAGAGAGAGTCTTTAACCTCAGGGAGAGGCTCAGTGGGATTTCTTATCATTAAGACAGACCCACCCAGATAATCTTTTGATAGCTCAAAATCAAT